AAGTGCCTTGTTTTTTGGGTTGTATTGTTCACCCTTCTTTGCGTTTGGGGTGTGTTATAGGAGTATGTGTTTTCCCTGGAGCATTAGTTGTTCCCAAGAAAATATAGAATTCCCAAGCTATTTCTCTCCTCTTCCTCATCCCCCGTAAAAGAATAAGAATGTGAAGGGAAAATTCCTGAAAATACTCCAAATTTGGAAATACCCTTCGTACATTTTTGTTTTCGGAACATGTTTGTAATCGTCTGTGTATGTTTGCACTGAAAGTTGGTATACAACTATATTTCAATTACAAACTAGTTGAGTTTGTTTATATGAATACTTACATTCCATAGGTTTTCTACAATTTTGGTTTAACGAAGTCTGGTTTGTCAAATCATTCTTGAAATTAGGTAATCAATGTTTATCTAAAAATCATGTGATTTTCTTAGTATTTACACTAATAATCACCGGTTACTTTTTTATAGGTTTCCACCTGGGGTTGATGTTCAGTTTGGGGCCCAACTACTCCCACTTTTGGGGGCAAGACATTTTCTATCAAAGACATTCTATACTTAAGCTCGAACTAAAGACCTACGGTTAAAGATGAAAGATTACTTATAGCTCCATGACAACCTATGATGGTAGAAAATTATGGCACGTAAGTAGAGACAAGTCACCCTAATATTAAGGTAGGTTTAAGTTAAAAGAATGAAGACTCACAGGCTATGAGGCATTCTAAAAAAATAAAACTACTATGATCAACACGCTGGTTTTGACATTCTCGCATATACTCTTGCTATATTTCGTTTCGTTTTCCTTACTAATTTCCTTACTACTCGAGTTGTTTGCTCAAGAAAATATACTCTGCACCCAAGGGTGTGGCCTTATGACCAATAAAGTGGGTAGAGAACCATGAGGTTCACGGTTCAAATTTTAGCGGAGGCAAAAATATTAGGTGATTTCTTCCATCTATCCAAGCCTTGGTGGAGTGGGAGATAGCAGGTACCCCGTGAAATTAATCAAGGTGCGAGCAAGCTGGCTTGGACACCACGATTATAAAAAAAATTTACATATAATTGGAGAAGTAAGGATGTCATTTATGAAAATTCTTTCCCGTAGCTTAAGGGGAAAAAATGCTGTGATCATTATTCTTCTTTCTATTCCGTGTCACATTAATGGCCAAAAGAGAAGTAAATTGTGATTTGCAAATATGACAGCATAGTGGTCGAGTACTCCATTTCTATATTGGCTAATTACTGTGCCGTGGGCCAATGAATGAACTTCATTAGTGCCTATATTCCAAGATTTAGGGAAAGAAAACATATCAGAAAGTTACAAATGAAAGGTTTATTAGGATTATATCATTTGAGGACATCAGGACAACGTGTACGGAGTCTATCTTCATTGTCACAAATCATACATAAATGTTAACAGACATCATCTTGAGCACTATAAATTCCTTGCTTCCTCTAAACATTTCATCTACATTCAAACACAAAATATTACTAGTATTATCACTAGAAAGATTTAGGTAGCGAAAAATGGCTTTGACATTCAATTGGAAGCTTGCTTTTGCAGCTCTACTAGTATTGGGAATGCACGCTTCTCGAGCCTCATCTCGCGGCTTGTATGAAGCCTCAATGGTCCAGAAACACGCGCAGTGGATGGCTCGTTTTGGGCGTGCTTACAAAGATGACGCAGAGAAGGCAAAAAGACTCAAAATATTCAAGGAAAATGCCGAGTACATTGATTCCGTCAACCAGGCAGGGATCCGGCCTTACAAACTGGGCATTAATGATTTTGCTGATTTGACAAATGAGGAATTCCGAGCCACTCACAACGGGTATAGAATGCCTTCTCACCAGAAATCGTCTGAAACCACATCATTCAAGTACGAAAATGTGACTGCGCTAGCAGCTAGCATGGATTGGAGAAAGAAGGGTGCTGTTACTGGAGTTAAGAATCAAGGGCAATGTGGTAAGTCAAACTGACTCATCATCATATTGTTAAATTATGTAACCATTTTATCTAAAAAGTCAAGTGTCAGAGAGAGAACACTTTCAATTATTATGTTTCAACACTCCCCTCGCGGGTGGATATGATTCTTTTATGTTTTTTTTACTTTTCCGGTGGCAGTGAGATTCTGAGGAACTCTTGTCTCGTATTGATATCATATTAAATTGTAAGACCATCTTGTCTAAAAGTTTAAGTTGATAGATGTAACAACTAAAATTTCGTTCCTAAAAATAATAATCAAGACAAGAAATATAGCGACAAATAAAAGTATTTGTATTTCAATAATTTATGCGGGTTACAATCTTTTAACAATCTTAAGTTTAAAATATGTAATCCCCTGATTCTTCTCCTCACGGCCGTCAATTCGAGAGTTTCGCTTGTTCTTGAATTGATGGACTACTTGTTGTTGTGATTTGACCACAAATGCGGAGCTAGGCTTTGATCACAAACGTGGAGGATGGAAACTTGCGGTTCACCCCTTGGAGACGATGACTTCTTGCTCTGCTGAAGACTTGCGAATCACCATTGTATCCTTCCTCCTCCTCCCCCCCTCCCCCCCCCGCTCCTTTTGGCCTTATGGAGACCCCTATTTATAGTTGTAGGGAGGGAACTTGTGATAAACACATATCTTTTGAGTCATCAAACCTATCACTGAAGCTATGTGATAAGCTTGCATATAATTGGTTGAACCATGTCATCTGAATATTTGACGACATTTGATTGGCCCTTACATTTGACTTGGCATACTACATCACTTATGCGCATGACATGATTTTAGTGGTCCTTGATTTGACTTGGCGCGCCATGTCATTTGACATGTGGCATGTACCTTGACTTATCATTTGAAGTCCGATAAGATGAACTAGCCCAATTAACTCGGGCTCTTAATTAAATCCATATACATATATTGGATTTAAATAATAAATTCAATTATACTAGCATGTAATCCTTGTTTGGGCTAACACGTGTTTGAATTTAACGTATGGTCCAAATAATTCTAATGGACTTAAACTCAAATAAAATTCAATCGTCTACAATAGAAATATTACAATTTTAATTACTTAATTATTTTATGTCTCCAACTCTTATATCCTCCTTTCCATGAATAAAAAAACCTAAGTTGCTTGGACTCTTCACTTTCCATGCCGCAACCGCATCGATACGACGTGGATGTGGGTGTGGGTCTGGTTCCGTACCGGATCTGATCAATCGATTTTGGGTACTTTGACCAAAATTAACAGAGAAATACATGACAAATATATTGATTTCTGAAGTCAAAACAAAGGCTAGAGCACAACCGAAGAAAATGGAGTACTTTGTATGTAGAAATTTTTATGTCAGTCTTTTTCTTTTATCTCTTCTCGGATTCTCCTGTTAATCGATATTTTCTCCTTCTCGGAATACCTTGTAAGTTTTTCACATAATGTCTTATAATTTAGACATATTTTACAACTCTATTTTTAGATATTTGTATCATTTTTAGCCGAATACCCATCCGTATTCCTACGTGGATTCGTATCCCCGAATCTTAAAATTTAGATCATGAAGGACCGGACCTCTAGATCCACACCCGTTTCAGACACCCTCACCCGAGTCCGAACAACTTAGCTAAAAACTAATCAACCTAATAATGCAGGATGTTGCTGGGCATTTTCTGCTGTTGCTGCCACAGAAGGAATCAACAAGATCAAGAATGGTAAGTTGATTTCCTTATCTGAGCAAGAACTTGTGGATTGCGACACGAGTTGGGATATGGGTTGTCAAGGTGGTCTCATGGATTATGCATTCAAGTATATCATCAAGAACCATGGGCTTACTACTGAATCCAATTACCCATACGAGGGAATCGATGGCACCTGCAAAACTGGAAAGAAATCCAAGCATGCTGCTAAGATTACTGGTTACAAAGATGTCCCAGCTAATAGCGAGTCTTCTCTACAGAAAGCTGTAGCTCACCAACCTGTATCTGTCGCAATTGATGCTAGTGGACCAGATTTTCAATTCTATTCTAGCGGTGTTTTCACCGGAGAATGTGGAACTGAGTTAGATCACGGTGTTACAGCAATTGGATATGGTAAAACTAGTGATGGTACGGATTATTGGTTAGTGAAGAACTCGTGGGGAACTAGTTGGGGCGAGAAAGGTTACATTAGAATGCAAAGAAACATTGATGCTGAGGAAGGACTTTGTGGAATTGCTATGGAAGCTTCTTATCCAACTGCTTAAATTAATAGAAATCTGGTGCAAGTTTGCTATTGATTTTTCACTAAAGACCATTGTTGGTCACAATGTTCATAATGTATGTGGTCTGCCTAGAGTTCACTGTATGTTATAAGCTCGTGTGTAAATGGTGATGTTGATCAAAAGTGTATCCTATAATTGTCTTTGAATCTTTGTGCGTGTATCCACCACTTCTGAATTGTCTTTTGCTGGTCGCATACAAGTTACATTGACCCGATTCCATGCATCCCACTAACCCAACTTACCAAATTTTGTGTACTCACTTAACCTATCTACTTTGCTTCTCCTTTTTAGAGTCTTTTACTAATAAGCTTTACACCCGAGTAGTTAGTAGTAAGGAAAGTCAAAAGTCTTATAGACACATGCATATTCATAATAGTCAATTGATAATATCACACATGGGATGATGTAAGGGTGTGTTTGGTATAAAGGAAAATGTTTTCTTGGAAAATGAGTGGTTTTATCACTTACTTTTCTTGTTTGGTTGGTGAATGAAATTTTATTTCCGCAAAATATTTTTTAGTGTTTGGTTAGAGAGTAGAATATTTTTTTTTTAAATAATTTTTTATGCTACTCTCTTCACCCCCTCCTTCCCCCGAATCCCCGTGTTTCCTGTGCCCTCCCCCCTCCCCAAAAACAAAATACCCAACATTAAATTTCAAGACTCTATTTTCTTCAATAATTTAATTATTCTTTTAAACATTCATACAAACCCAAAGAAACTAATGTGCTGCTTTACTTTTTCACGCAAAAAAATTATTGAAATCTGCTCCTTAACTAAAAAGAAAATACTCTTCCCACGATATGAAAAGAAAGTAGTCATTTTGTTGAAATAAAAGAAAATATTTTTTTTACATCATAAAAAGAAAATACTTATTTTGTTGAAATGAAAAAAAATACTTTTTCTACCATCATGAAAATTAAGTACTTTTTTGGTTGAAATGAAGGAAAATATTTTTTTACAGCATGAAAAGAAAATACTCAATTTACTGAAATGAAAAAAAGAAAGTAATCTATCTACAACATGAAAAGAAAATATTCTTAATAGTGGGGTGGGGGCGGNGGGATGGGAAATAAGGTGGGAAAGTAAGAGTTTTGGAAAATATTTTTCATTCTTTTGTTAGGAAAAATATTTTCCTCTAATTAGACGAAAATGAGTTCATGAGAAAAGCTACAAAACATGAGAAAATTAAAAAATATTTTTTAAAAAATATTTACCTTCATACCAAACACAACCTAAGTATTCTATATATTTCCAATCAACTTATAGACTTACAGTTAGCTTAAATTTTTTTCAATCATCTAGATAAAGAGTTTCCAGATTACTCAAACTTCAAACTGCAATTGCATATTCACTACTTTTTAAAATCAATTCAATTTCAAGGTTGGCCTTTCCATGCATAATACTCCTCTCACAAAAATGTTTGTCAATCTTCAAAATCAAATAATCTCCTAAAACAACGAGTACAAGATACATAGTGAAATACCTATGCCTATGAAAAAAACAATAAATTGCCCGCAGAAAAATTTCTCAATTTGCCACGAAAAAATACCTATTTCTAGCTAAGTGCTTAACTATCTCCAATCTTCGTGCCCATAAATCACATCCTCTGTTGGAACTCCTTGTATTTCCAAATATCTCCAACTATTTTTTCTTACATCATAAAAGTTACACTCTAAAATATTAGCCTTAATCGCGATAAATACAATCTCGTCATTATAAGAAGTGCAAAATCTTTTACAATCACTAAATGTTGGTCGCAATTTATCCTCCATACCTTTCCATTGGGAAGGAATCTGAATGCTATGACTCTCCCATTCTTCTTTTTCGAAATTTTCCAAAATCCACAAATCCTTTTGGCCAGAGAAACATTTATAATAGTCCAGCAACGCTAATTTTCCCTTCACTTCTAGCAGCTTGTAATGACTTCTGCGATCATATAAAACATTCTCCAATCTAATAATTCTGAAATTTTCAGCTTTAATATTAAATGCAATTATGAATTTTTTCCAGTAATCCAGCATATAAATAATTCCTCTAATGCACACTTTAATGTCAAACCATAGATCAAGATCAACCAAGCTTTCAATCTCTCTCCATGATTCGTCTATGGTTAAAGGAATTTTGTTCCACCATCGCGAATCACAGAGCGACGGTGATGGATATCTACGAAATCTGATTCCGACACAAGAGAATTAAAAGATTTAGAAACGCACCTAAATTGCAACAAGGACTTGACAGGAAGCTATGATAATATTTCAATAATTATATCTTGGGGAATTTTAGGATTTCTTGTAGCAGGTTTCATCTTTTTCTGTGTAGCGGCTGGAGGCATGAACTAATAAGTGTTAGTCCCGCCAATATTGCTGTATTTGTAAATAATAATTCTGCAAAATATAAGTTATCGTAATGAAACAGTAATTAATTCGAGCCCACTGAATTCACAGTGTTTCCTTAAGGAATTTAATCCCCTCCTAGTACCCAAGGTAATGGATTATTTCCTCCCATGATAGAACGAATCACACACTGGTGTAGCGGTACTTCAAACCCCAGTGTTTAAGCGAACACAGAGTTCGGTAGCAAATCACACTTACAGTTGCTTTATTTGAAGTTAAAAAACAATGCAGAACAAGGGAGTAAAAACTCAGAAAATCGTATGGAAATGCTGAGAGGAAGGAGTGCAATGTATAGCCAAA